AAGAAGAAGAAGAAGAAGAAGAAGAAGAAGAAGAAGAAGAAGAAGAAGAAGAAGACGACGACGACAGAAAAAGAAATAGGAGGAGGCTGCACTCCTCGCTTTCAGCTTTGGCGAAGATGGATCCACGTTTCATCTTTAATCACGCCAGGCCCAGGCCCATCTGTCTTGTTTACTCTGCCGAGGAGAGGATGGGCCTCGGTGGCGACCATTACCTCGACACCCGGCTAACAAATGAGGCCCGGCTCGGCCGCCTTTACTGCTGCCGCCGCTGGAACACAGCCTGGATTTTCTTTCTTTGTCCCCCATTCCTGACACCCAGCGAAAGCACCCTGTGACTGCCAGATAGCGCAGTGTTTTGGCCACGGTAACACACACACACACACACACACACCCTCCCCTTCTGTGCCCCTGCACAGGCACACTGACTTCTCACCCCCCCTTCCACCAAGAGGCTGGGCTGGGGGGCAGCAGGAAGGGGACAAGCGGAGGCGGGGGTGCAGGAACAGGCAGGGAAGTTGAGTCCCAAGAAAAAAAAATGAGAGACCCGGAGACATGGGAGGGCCTTCTTCTGGAAGGTCAGGCCGTTCCTGGCAGAGCCAGAGGCCAGTTGAGTTCTGGGAGCTGGGCGCAACCCTGTCGCCAATCTAGAGTTGTTCTGCTGAGGCCTTCTCCCCTAGACTGCGAACGAATGTGAAACTAGCAGATAAAACGGGGTGCCCCTCCCGGTCTGGGAGATGGTGTTGCAGAGACCTCTCCCATAGTTTATCGTTGTTTTGCATTGATTATTATTATTATTATTATTAATTATTATTATTATTATTTTATGTCACGTGCGTCCTCTCTCCTGTTCGCTCTCTGACATTCCAAACCAGGCCCCTTCCTAGTTCTGGGGCTGCCTGAGTCTAGAACCCTTCGTTGGCGTGAAAATTTGTGTCCTGTACAGAGTGACAATAGAAATAAATGTTTGGTTTCTTGTGACCAGCACGGCGTGTTTTTGTTGAAACCTCGAAATAAAGATACAGACAAATGCCACCCAGCGTATATGTTAAGCATCTCAGTCCATTCGGCCTCATATTGGATGTGGTTGAGGATTTTTTTCAAAGGGTCCAAGGGGACTTTCTGTCTCAGAGGACTCCAAATTGTGGTAACTCATTTGTTTTCCTTTTGGGATGGGTGTGTTTTGTTTGGGGCTTTTAATTTTTTCCCTCCAGTCCAAAAATGGATTGAAAGTACTGGGAGGGCTGACTCCAATCCCTAATGGGGGGGGGAATGTTTCATTGTAGGACACGAGAGGCTTAAGTATGGCAAAGCCTTTCATATCGTGATTTATCTGTCATAAGCAAATAAAATGCGGTTAAGCTGTCTCTTTCTAGACAGACGACTCTTTGCTTATTAAGGTTCGGAGGGAGGATTCTGCGAGGCCGGCGTCTTTCCTCCCGCCTAAGAAGGTATCGTTTTCCTCTGAGGTGTTTAAAGCTTTAATGAGTCTAATTTTTTGCACAGATGTTTCTGGGTGTTTGCAGTTTTCAGAGTATTTTTATATTACAAAGGAGCTAGCCGGTGCCATAGCTCAAACTCTGACAAGCAAATAGATAATCAAGAAGACAAATGGCCTCTTTTGTGAAGCCCTGCTCCTGTATTAATTTTCATTTTCTTTCTCATAGAAAGTATCGAAAGTACGACTAGGGACCAAATAGCTTTCTGTCTCTGAGGTCCCAGTCACCCCTAGAATGGAGTGGGGGAAGGGGAAGGGGGTGCCGGTGACCCTCACAAACTCTGTCAGGCTCGGGCCACTTTGGGAGAGCACCCAAGAGAAGTGCTAAGGTCTAAGGGCTCCAGCCCCAGGGTCTCTGGTCTTGTGGTGGGCCAGGATACCGCCACCCACCCGCCTCCAAAAAGCTTGGGGCTCAAGAGAGCATATGCAATTAAAAGTCGTTTTTCGGTCCCGTCTCCCTCCAGAAAATAAACATAGCTGATTCCACCAGCACGTTTTATTGGTATTTCTTTTGTATCCCTCTGGTTTGCAGCGCCCCTGGGGAGTGTGAGGCTGCGTAGGGCCCAGGACACACGGGCCCGGTGTCCACAGCGCGGGAAAGGGCCATAGAACGGCCCTGTTGAAATGCTGCTGAAAGCCTCATAAAAAACCGCCCGGAACCTGGAGGCTCAGAGCGGCGAGCTTTGTTTCCGTCGAATCTCGGTGTGATGTTTAGCTGCCAGGGGATGCGGCTGCCCTTAGTGGAGGGGGGAAATAGTTCTTAAAAAGCATATGCCCCCCCAGGAATGCCTCTATAGAACCAAATCAAAGCTGCTCCTTGGAAGGTATGAATAGAATAAAAAAAGATTTCTATGGAGCTTAAAGTTCACAGCCATTCTGTGTAGACAAGAGCTAAGAAAAATGTGAGAATTATACAGAAAACCATTAATCACTTCTTTTCTTTAAATACGTATCCTCTCTCCTTTGTTATTATTCAACAGCAAATCTCCGCAGACCGGCTGTTGGGGGAAAAAAGTGTTAGCTGGCTCTCCCGGATCTGCGAGGGGGAAAAAATTTGGAACCATAAAGTTGAAAACTTTTTTCTCTCAGTTTGGAAGAAGCCCGTCGTCATGAATGGGATCCGCGGAATTCAGGCCAGAGGAGGCGAGAGGCGCAAAGGTAACAAAGCCCCCGCCTGGGCTGTCTTTTTTTTTTTTTTTTTTTTTTTTTATCGTTTTATGAGCTCTTTTTTTACAAAGGAAAGAAGAAATTCTCTCGCCTCCTTCTTTTCCTTTTTCAACTTTTGTCGCGGGTTTTTTTTTATGGTGGATGCTTGGTCAGATTTGCTGCCTTTTATGATGACTGATGCTTGGGTCAGAGGGAGACAGAGGGGCCTCGCACCTGGAGAGTGTTTGAACTGCTTGGGACTGAGGTGTCAGGGCCCCTGAAAAACCCCAGAGAAGGTTGTTTGTGAGGCTGCTCAGAAGTGCTTTTCAGGTTTTGGAAAATGCAGGCGGGCCTGGGGAGGTCCAGCATGTGTGCGTGTTTAGCGACACGCACATGTGGCCCGTGTGTTCTGTGACTTCGTTTGTCTACACTGGGGGCTTGTGTCCCATATGTCTGTTTACCGGGGAGATGTCACTGCTGCCTCCTGGAAAAACGGAATGCAGTTCTTGGATGGAATGCCCCAAGGATTGGAGCAGGGTATAGGTAGACGTCTTCATTTTTTTTTTTCTTTCTTTCTTTTTGTGTCTAGCTTGGGATTCTGGACTAAATATTTGCAACTCTGAAGCAGGAAACTGTTCCGTTTACAGGCAATGTTCGTTGATGCCAGAATCTTCCTCTTCAACTCTGCCCCCCTTTCTTCCTGGAGGCTCAGTGTTCAGTTTGGTTTCCTTTTGCTCTCTTGTTTTAGGGGCTCTGTTCCCCCGCGTGGGGCCCTGCTTCTGAGGGCAAGGGAGCCAGGGGGCTCTGCCTCAGACCTGAATGTGCTGGTCCTTTTACCCTGGGGCTACACTGTGGGTTTGGAGGCAGGAGGCTGGCAGGAGAGAGAGTTCATGGAGAGGCCACGTTTTCTAGGCGATTAGCTCAGTATTAGAACCACAAAATGACCTCGGAAGCCCCTTGACCTCTCTGAGACTGGACAGTGTGCTGGCTCCCGGCTCCTGACTCCTGCCCAGGAGGGAAAGTCATACCTCTGCAGGGAGGGGTGCTTGGGCTGTTGTGTGGCCCACCTTCTGCATCTCCCTCCAGCCCCCAACCCCTTCTTTACTATCTGGGAATTTCTGGATTGTTTTTCTATGACTGTCCATTGGGGAGAAAAGGAGTAAAAATTTTAGCTCAGGGGTACGGCTGGGGGAGGGAAGTAGGGTGCTGATCTGGCCCTCTGTGTAGAACTCCTTTCCTAGGCCAGGTTCTAAGCCCCCCCCCCCATATCCAGCTCATCCCTCCTTCTTTCCTCTTTCTCTTGGAGGGAGCTGAGGGAAGAAAGGCAAAGGGAGGTGAAAAGATAGGTCCATAGGGCTTCAGAGGGCTAAGGGGACAAGCCCCTGGGTTCTAAAGAGGGGGAACCCCCCCCGCAAAAGTCCCTTGGAGGCTCCTTTCTCTCAAGGTCTCATATCCAAATCCACAAAGCTGTGGATTTTCTGAAGTTCCTTTGTTTAGGAAGCTATTCCTATAATCACTTATGCCCTCTTCCCCTAATCCCCAGTCCCACCCCAGCTACTCACAGGACCCATGGATACCTCCCTACCAGAGGAGCAAGAGAGATGGGAGAAGGGTCAGGACAGGCTGTTCTGCCCATTCCCAGGGACAGCTCTGCCACAGTGACCAAAGTTTTAGAAACTTTTAATTTTAAGAGATGGGTGGAGAATTTGCTAACATGGAGCCTTTCCAAATCTCTGTTCTACTTGATGCATCTTAAAATCCACACCAGCAGCCATTCTCTTAGGAGGAGAAAGAGACAAAGAGAGACAGACAGACAGGCAGGCCGACAGACAGACAGACTGAGACTCCAGCTGAGAAGAGAGGAAATGTTCCTTCAGTTAAAACTAGGAGAGACAGAACCTTGCTGGGATGTGTGTGGGATATTGATTTGCATTTTGTAAATTGTCTCCTGTAACTTGGGGACTCTAACTCAGGCAAGAAATAACTGGCATCCGTGGGTACCTTCTCCTTTGTCCCTGAATGGTAGAATACACCCAGGGGCTGGAGGCCTCGGGCAGGAGAGGGAGTGAGTTGAAAGGGAGCTGGGCCGCTGCTGGACTGCAAATGTTTGGGGCTCATGTAAGATATGCACCCATTACTCATAAGGGCAGATAGCCAATTGCGGGCCCTCTAGAGGCCCAGGTGAGGAAGCTGTAGTCACCTGGGACTTTAGGAGTTGGCAGTGTGAGGGGTCCATCAAGGGGGAGGAGGAGGGAAACAATGGAAGGCAAGGTTGGGGTTCATTCCAGGGTTTCCGCCCCATAGGCGAGAGCTTCGAGATTTCCCTTTTCCCTTACTCCCAGACCCCCAGTCTTTTCAGGGATGAGCCCCTCCAGCAGGCTCCCCCAGCTGGATGGGCTCACCTTCTATAATTCCAGCGGCACTCTTCATCTTTGCCCTCTCTTCCCTCCCGGTCCCCAGGCCCTTCCCGTTGGGCCCTCCTGTTTGCACCTCCGGGGGCAGAGGGGCTGCCCTAGTCCTGCCACAGCCCTCGAGGCTGCTCCAGCGCCCGTGGTGGGTCTCCCTGGGAAGAGTGGACAGCCGAGGAGGGGAGTCTGGTTGGAAAACAGAGTTGGGAAGTTTCCCAGCGTGAGTTGAGCGCTGACGGATTTGTGATCAGCCATAAAACCGGCGCGTTCAGATTCGTAAATCAATCTCGCCTTTCTCGCAGAATGAACGTTCGCTTTATCGGCAGCAAGAAAGCGCTCCGCTTGCGCTCAGGCTCTTGTTTATTTGAACATGGACATTCCCAGGATCCGAAAAGAGTGTGGGCATTTTAACAGAACCTGCCTGGCGTGCCTTCCTGTCATTCTGCTGTTCTTTTTCTTGTCCTTAAAGACAATTTCTCAGTTTCAAAGATTGTTGTCTTCCCATGCTCCTGCCTATTACTTCCTTTCTGTCTCTCTCTCTCGCTCTCTCTCTCTCTCTCTCTTTTTCTTTCAGACTATAGGGGGCTGTTTTCCCAAAGGGGACCATTTTTAATGGATTTGTGGCCAGGACCTTGCAAGGAGTTGCCCTGGCTGGAGCCAGGCGCAGGGCCCACGTTGGGAGCAGGCTGAATTCAATACCAGTCTGTGTTTTGTATCTGGACAATCAAAGCCGCCCACCCCCCTACAGAGTGCGGGGCTCCGCCGGCGCTCCACCCGTGCGTCGGGAGCAGGGATTCCGGAGGAGGAGGCAGGGGCCGCCCGGCCGCCCCAGCTGGAACTTAAGCGGGCCCGGCGGGCGAGGTGACTGTTTCTTTGGGGGCTGCTAAGGCATCTGGGTCCTCAGCCTTCTCCCCATTGAGTTGTTTTTGGTTCAGGTCTCTCCAAACAAACCGGTGGCGACCCCTCGGCCCCTGCTCCCTTACCCTAAGCCGAATTTATTCTCCTATCCTGCCTGCTCTGGCGGCGCGGGCCAGGCTGCGCACGGAGCTGCTGAAGATAAGGCTGGGAATGTGCCGAGCGGGGCTTCTTCAGGAATGTCTTTTCTGCTCCCCTTTGCACTCCCACCCCTCACGGTGGCCCAGGACTCCGATTCTGGTTGTAACTGGTCTGCTCCTTCTGGGGCCAAGCTGTAAGTGAGGGTTTGGGGGATTTTTTTGTTTTGTTTTGTTTACATCTGGGAGGAAGGAGTGTGTGTCCCTTTCTGTAGGCCTAGGGAATGGATTGCTCCTATAGTCCCTGTGTTTAACCCTTTATTATGAGATTCCACCCCCCCCCCCCCCCCCCCCCCCCTCCCCCCCTCCATCAGACTCCATTGTCTGCTGATTGGGAGCTCAGGATATTAACACCTGGGAAATAGGGACCCCCGGCTGCCAGGCCAACTTCAAAGCCTGTTTCTTCCCTCTCCTTCCTCTCTAGTTCAAATCTTCGGCTGTCTTCACTGGTGTGTTGGGGGTGGAGGGGGTCACTGACATGGGGTGTGACATAGGTAGAGAGCTACTGAGTGTCCACTTCTTTTGTGTAGATACCTTAGTCTGGGGTCTTTGTCTCTAGAGCGTATTCTCAGTTGGTCACTAGAATTTGTTTCCCTGTGATGGTAATAATACAACGGGAAAAAAAAGTCCCCCTTGTGGTTATTCTCAGCTGTGGGAGCCCCAGAGTCATCTCTTCACCCTGTCCCTTTTCTGCCCCTTCCAAAGGTACCACAGAAGGTCAGAAGGAGAATTAAAGCCAGAAGCCCCATTCTTTATACATATGTAACTTGGACTGATGAAGTGTTTGTTTTGAAGCTAGTCCCTTTAGAAATGTTGCTTTTTTAGGAAGAGGGGAGTGGGTCCCACTAAAATCAATATCCTAGGAGCGAGAGAGAGAACTGAGTTGGGGGGAATCTTGATCTTAAAGGATGCAGAGAGAAGAACTGGAAGCTGAGAAATCCAGGGGCTTGGAGCAGGGCTCCGCGCCCACCCCACCCCCACCCCCCAGACGCCCCTGCAGACTATTTCTGCACCTCCACGAACTAAGCAGAAGCAGGAGGAGAAGGGAGAGAGGAGAGGTGGGCTGTGGGTAAGTGTGTGTCTGGGGAGGGGAGGTTAGGGAGCTGTAGGTAGAGTAGGTAGAGATGTGAATGTGGGAGAGAGAAGGAGAACTCACTACTCTTCCATTGGTGGGTTGGGGGGAACCTATTTTGCAGGAAAATTTCTCCTCCTGAAGGGGAAGGTCATAGTGGTCCTTTGAGCCTGAAATCAAAAGACCCCCTTCCCCCTTCTGGTCACGTGATTCATTAAATAATTAATGCCGAGGTTGCAGAATAGATATGTATTCGTCAGGAAAATCGCAGGCTCGGTCTCCCTGTTTCTGACGTGCAATTCAACTGTCCTTTGAAAAACAAGCCTGTACCCCGAGAAAAAAAAAGAGAGAGGGAGAGAGAGAGGGAGAGAGAGAGAAAAAGAGAGGGAGGCAGCAATAAAACAGCCCCGCAGCCGGAGCCACACCGCGGGCTGGGGTATTGTAAGTAGAAGGGATTTCTCACTACCTACCGCGTCTTCT